ACACTCCTTCCCTATTATCTACTTCTGATGTATATGTATAGGTAGGCCCCATATATTATCAGGGGTTAATAATGACAATGTTTGTCATTATTAACCCCCTGATATTATATATATACAGTATATATTATATATATTATTTTATATATTAATTATATATTGGTATAATTGGTATATAGTTATATAGTATTATAATATACCGTAAGAATTTCGTCTGCGCAGCGTCACATCCCCGCGTTCTGGCTCCCGGCGTAGCCTCGCAGGAATTTGTACCGGTTTTATGCGCACTCTGGTCTTTTGACAGGGCGGAATGCAAAGCCGCGACCTATTCCCGGCGTAAACACTGTCATTTTTGAGTCTGTGTTGTTTGTTCTGTGCGACTTTACAATCCAGTGGTCGACATTTGGGGGGTTAGAAGTCTCCGCCGTTGACACGGGCAAAAAGCGTTATCATATACCATATATAAAAGTCAAATTATAGAATAAGGTGTTGAAAATTTTGAATTTTAAACACCCTTATTCTATAATTTGACTACGTTTTTATCTACATGGGTGTTTGTGTGTGACTTTACTACTACGTATGTATATATATATATATATAGGGATGATAATTTTCCTCGGATCGAGAATTTCTCGATTCACTGTCTCTGGAGCCGATTTATGTGGAAACGTCTAAATTCGATATTCAAAACCTGTATTTCAACTGTCATCAATACATTTATTCATTAAGATTCTTCTCTGTCCACAATGCACTATAATTCACTGTGTTCCCAATTGTATTCCTACTATGTGGTCGCCTCTGATCCGCAGAAACTGGGGCCACGTGTGACCATAACATCCGATTGTCTCATCTCTAGCCAATTTATCAAATGGGATCTGGGCCTTCTTATTGTTCCAATTTAGGGCCAAGTATGAAATGCCGAAGGTCGAAAGGCCTTTTTCGCTAGAAGGGTCGGGGTCATGCCTTCCGGCAAATTTTTTTTTAGCAAGCACAAAATGGATGTTTTTATTATAAGATATTTTCGTTGAAAATAAAATACGATATAAAGAGGCGTTCGTGAAAAGATCTAGCATGAAGCGTTTATTGATACTTATATACGCGAACGGGCGCCTTGATACAAACATAATTTATGCATCATAACAATTGTATTTGCGTCGGGTGGCGCGAGGGGGCGCTGGCATTCAGATGCGGCTTGTACAATAAATATATGCAGTTACTAACGCAAGGGCGGCACCCGAAATATGAGATGTGTTACACACTCTATTGGTACGAACCGCACTGAGGCTGTAAGTAATACTGAACACTGTTAACCTAGAAACACACAACAGGACAGTTTTAAACAATCATTGCAAGGTTATGTTTAATGACGCGACTGACCACTGTAAGTACACAGAATGCAAGAATCTCGAGTAAGTCTAGGTCTTATCAAATTGTGAATTGCCAGTGAAAACCGAGTATCTCTTCATACTCCGCCCAGTGGCACACGACAACAAAATAAAACATTTTAAGCACATAATGGAAATGTGGAGAACGTTGTAATATTATATAACAAATACAATTATTTTTACGTATTTATCAACAGTAATCACATTTGTAGTTAGTTATAATGAATTGAATGAATAGTTGGCGTCGCCCACCCCCCCATCCAACTTGTGAATTTCTCGCTGAAATGAAATTCTTTATTCGTCATCCTTTCTATATATAGATAAGATTTTTTCATCTGTGAGCACGGTTTGCAACGTACAAGTGTCTTCAGTAAGCCGGGAATGTCAGAGCAACGAAGGGTGAAGTTTTAAACAACATCATGCATGGAGCTTATATGGTATCAGGACTAGATAATGATCACATTTGTTCATGTATTAGCTCCTGATGGTATCAGGTGACGTCACTGCGATAAGCTTGGTGTTCGCGGTGTGACGTTCCTGCGTGCAGTTTATATAATTGTTTTACATGTTAAGGGGAAAATTGGAGTGATGGATTACAGGAAAAATAAAAACTTGCTTGCGTATCTAAACTAAACTTAAGAATACGATGTGACGACAGTTACTGAAGCAGGAACCGATGTTTTCTCCTCTCCGAAAAAAACCTGAATACAAAAGCACTGGGAAATTGGACCATCACAGGCGATGTCGCATGACAGGTAGCTTAGCGCTCATGAGGCTATTCTCCCAGGGTATACTGGAACGTAGCCCTGTGTAACTATGTGATATGCGTTACAGGGTGTGTGACACGGATTTGTACCAGGGGGGGGGTCTAACGGAACGGCGCAAGACTTGCTCGACACCACGGTGGCTTCGCGGCGGAAGGGGGGGTCTGAGGAATTTTTTGAAATTAGACTCCTTCAGATGCGTTTTCCTCGCATCTGACACACCACAATAACTTCATCCGGACCTCCTGGACCCCTCCCCCTGTACACGCCCCTGGGTTAAGGTTAGGGAGTAGACGTAGGCGACTCCCTAGACTCGTTAGTAGAGTAGGCGAGGTACGGTCCGGCATATTAGATAGTACCAGGGCATTATACGCTCCTGATAGTACCAGGGTACGTTCCGGTATACCGGACCGTACCCAGGGTACGTTCCGGCAGTACCCTGGGGGACATAGGCCCTCTCAGCTGCAGTAGCAGGCTAGCTATTCGAGATTAACGGGGTTTTAAGGTTGTTTACGGGCTTTTTTTATCAGTACACACACAACCGTGTAACAGAACGTTTTTCATTGAATGCGTAACAATGTAATATATACACAGATATTATATATAATATAAATATAATATATATATTAATCAAGGTTTAGCAAATACAAATTTAGTACAACTTGCATTTCACACAGTGCATTAGCTCCAAGAAACGGTCTTGCTAGGGTTAGAAGACCATAGTATACCAGTTAGAAGACCATATCTATAGACAATCAGTCGCACAGCCTCGTAGGGCTAAAGCCCGGCGCACACGTGAGTAATTTTACTTAAATAAAATGATGCATACGTCAAAATACTCACGCGAAATATTTTCAGCGTCCGCCGCACACGTGAGTATATCAGTATAATTACTCAAGGTATAAGTGGTAATGTAGATCACGTGACTGTGCGCAGCCAATACTGGGCGCAGTCATTTTTAAAATGATTTAAACGCAAGCGCTGTGAGTATACCAGTGTTGAGTAAATTTACGCAGCTAGCGCGCACACGTGGAGTATTTTGACGCATGAGTCAAAAATTATCAAACATGTTTGATATCGAGTTTCTTGATATGCGTCAGAAAACTCAACGAAAATCCGGCGCACACGTGAGTATTTTGACGCGGGCATCATTTTACTTGGGTAAAAATTACTCACGTGTATGGTGTACGAACGAGGTCATACAACAAATATGCTTAAATGGACATAATTTTAGCTTAGATGGACGTAAAAATTGCTTAAATGGACCTAAATATGCTGATTTGGCTAAATAGGCGCTGATAGAGCTGATAAGCAAAACAACTGCTGATTGATGCAAAACAACTGCTGATTGATACAAACAACATGTTCAAATGCCTATATCAGCAGAATAAACGCCCATTCACGCTAAACAAATGTCCATTTCAGCAAATATGTCTCCCTCTTGCTGATATCAGCACTAACAAATGTTCATTTCAGCATAATTGTCTCCCTTTTGCTGATATCAGCGCTAACAAAAGTCCATTTCAGCATAAATGGCTGCCTTTTGCTGATATCAGCGCTAAGAAGGGCTATATCAGCAGTTATATGCTAATTAGGCAAACATTTTTACCATTTTGCACACGGGACGCAGGCCAAACATAGTAGTACTAGTAGCCGCGTGCGTGCGTGCGCGTGTGTGCAAATATAGCTGATTTGGCGTAAACTTACTTGCATGAGCCCATATAGCTCTTTCGATATCAGGGTCACTGGGTACAGAAGTACGTGGCGCCATTCTTACGTTGTTCCAACATTAGCCTGAGGAGCACTACTGAAATTAAACAGCTAATCATTCAAGAAGACAATAATATTAATGTGTTTTTATTATTTATACTGAACCACTAGCATATACATTGAACACAGCTGCCATCTACACCAAAAAATTCTCCTAATTCTATTAACTGATATTTTATACGTTAAAATAACGATGATATTGGTTACAACGAAGAAAATATATAACCATAAATATTTAATTGGTGCAGAATACGGATTTGTGCAAAATTCGTACATTGACACTGGAAAAAACTGTTGTGTGAAGTTTATACATTGAAATTGTGGTTATTAAGCTTGAATAAAGTGTATTCTGCTTATGTAATGAAACTAGATTAGTATTATATACTCTTCACTTTTTCTGCCTATGGACGCCATCTGTTGGCTAATGTCACAGTTACGCTTCACAGTCACAGATACGGATGAAATTAATTTCGTTTACTAATTTTACAAGGTAACAGAGGCATATAAAGATATCCTGCAAACGCACGCACATGAAACACACGCGCGCGTATATAAGCACAGAGTCCACACACACACCGTGCAGAAATGCAAGCACAACGCTCCCGTACCCGCACGCAGCCTCCGCGCTTGTGTTATGTACCGCGCGCGTAAGTACGTACAGCGTACAGAGGGGCCATATCCTGAGCAAATTGATTATTTCTAGGCAATTATTGGGCCTGTTGGAGACAAAATTTATTGACCAAATTGAATAGTAGCAAAAAATTGGTTACTTTGGTTCTGATTAAAAAATAAATTGCAAATTAGGTGAGATATTTATTTGACTGAATGGATAATTTTGTTCAATTACTCATTGCATTTATTTAAACTTTTCCACTTTAATATGAGGAACATTTTTTTCTTTGTTGGAGAGCAGGTTCGTGCCTTATGTCCTTATCCGCCGGAGGCTATGTCCTTGACAGCAACCTGACACTGAACAACAGAAAGAATGTCTATCTCTCTCTGCAGTCTCTGCCTGGCACAATGACATGAAAGAATTTCTTACCCACAATGCTCGGCGGGTGAGAATGCCGCCGAGCATGCGCGTAGGTAAGCGCAGATCGTGGATTTGTGGTGGCGGTGATCCGCTGGAGTTGCTGCAACCCTGAGTGGGCCATATTTCTCCCGTTTCTGCGCCGAAAACCTTCCTCTCTGGGATTGGGAAAGCGAGATACCTTTCTTAGTCCTAGCATGGAGAAGGCTGCGGTGTCAGTTGCAGCGGGAGATGCGGGAAACGGCACCAATATGGTAACAGCGACGATGCCTCCCGGTGGCGCAGCAGGTGTTCAGACCACAGCCTGTGGCACAGGTCGGACAGACGTTCACGACGTCATGCCCGAATTGTACGTGGTTTGTGTGTCCGACGAAGAGAACGAGACTGGGCAGGCCAGTGACGGCGATATTGAAGGTAGCCCTCGTGAACGGAAATCATCTCATGGTAAATATTTGGGCCATACCATTACCATTTACAAATACCAGGCGGCTAGGGCCTAGCCTTGTGGCCCCCACAATCTAATCTATAATTATTGTAAATAACAGTCAGGCTTCAGTCGCGGAGTGAGCACCTTGCCTGTTAACCTGGTAATCTAGCAATGTACGCAGCACTGATAAATGCAACACGCTTATTTATTGAAACAACTTCGTTGATTCTATTTGTTATATAGATATATAATTCTGGCCGCACTAATAAAAAAAATCAGGTATTTGTTCATGCAGGATCTCGTTCGTCATGCAGTCACTAAGTTAGTCACTAGTAACTGAGTCAGGTCAAAATCTAACAGATCCTGTTAAGACAACCTAAATAAGGCAAAAAATATAGGTATAACAAATAAGAATAACATATAAGATGTTATAAATTGCTATTATTTTCAGGGAGTAAGGAAGATGTTGATGACTGGAAACCCCCAGATGAGGAATTGCAGCAGAAGATCATCAATCAGGTTGAATTTTACTTCTGCGATGCAAACATAATTAAAGATGCTTTTCTTCTAAAACACGTCCGGAAAAACAAAGAGGGGTTTGTCAGCATCAAGCTTATTACATCCTTCAAGAAGATGAAGAGCCTCACAAAGGATTACCGTAATGTCGCCTACAGTCTACGTAAGTCTGAGAAGTTGCGGGTCAATGACGAGGGGACGAAGGTCAAGCGGATTGAACCGCTTCCCGACTGGGACGAGACCACACCGTCCCGGACCATCGTCGCCATGAATTTGCCTCTCGAAATACCGAGCATCGAGACTGTGAGTCAGATGTTTTCGAAGTGTGGCGAGATCTCGCTAGTGCGAATCCTGCGGCCTGGCAAAGCAGTACCGCCGGACGTGAGACCGCACGCAGCCAGCCATCCTGAGATCGGGCAAACCATGTGCGCCCTAGTGGAGTTCGAGAAGGCAGCGTCGGCTGAGAATGCAGAGAAGCTGATGAACGACAGGTCGGACTGGCGCAGCGGCCTGCGAGTGGTGAAACTCGCAAAGAAGAAGGAAAAAGCCGTCAAGGCAAAAGAGCAAGACAAGCTGAAGAAACAAGGGTCCTCTGGTCAGGCTCTAACGCCGACGGAAGAAGGAATAGCGGGTAAAGATGACAAGAAAAAGCGCAAAAGGAACAAGCGAAGGCCTGGTAGCAAAGGGAGCATGTGCGATGGAGAGGTCTTGTCAGACAACCCGCAGGGAGAGAGGGTACCAGATGTTCACCTGCTCTCACCACACGGGCGACCTCGCAGCTCCACTAGCGAGGGTGAAGGGCTAAATATGTCCAAAGCCGCCGACATCCGAATCAGTAGCCCGCGCTTCGAAGCCAGGCCACGAAGTCGTACGTGGAATGCCCGTGACACCGACTCCATTGAGGATACAAACCGCTTGAGAGTTTCTCCTTGCATAACACCCAAGTCCACACCAACGACTAGCAGGAAAAACACGCCGAAGAGTAGCCCGGGCGTCAGACGCAAAGGCCAGCCGGGAAACAAATCGAGGGAATGTGAGGGTGAGGCGACCGTGTCTCCATCTAGTCCGTGGGTCCAGCGCCGTCTCTTGGCGGCCAGTAGCAGCCCAGGAGTGTCGCCAGTATGTAGTCCCCGACTGGGTAGACGGCAAGTTGGTGACACTTGTGGGCTACTCCGGCAGCCGAAAGGACCGGATGGGTCCACGGGATTTTATGGCGGAATCGGTCGAGGTAAAAGCTGTGCTGGTGTCTCACAGTAAAAATGCATTTGTTGAGCAGACCCAGTTTATGGCAAGGTCATGGTACGTGCAAGCGATAAGGCTAGTTTTATTTGTTTGTAAACGTACATTTGTGAAGAGTAAGACTAAAACGTGTTTAATGGTTGCAATATACATGCAGGATTAGTCGATTCTCTGACACCATGGAACACGTTTAAAGGGAGAGTTTACTCTAGGTTCTAGGGTTATTTTCAGCTAATTTAGGTTATAATTACGCTACATAAAAAGTTTGATGATACAATCGCCATTAGAAATATTTTTTTTTAATGTTTTAAAACTAACGACTACAGTTTGATTACAATGACGGTGGCGCCACTCAAAGCGGACGATCTGATAAGTTGCGCAAAACCACTTTCCAGCCAAGGGCTACAGAGGGTGTTTCTTATTTATTCATTTAAAAGCAAAAGGATTGTAATATCTTATAAACGACATATAGTTTCAGTTATAATTTGGATAAATTTGTCCTAAAATGAACATCGTTCGGTTAAATAGCATTTAGGTATAAATATAATTGCACTTTTGTGATTAGCCCTTGGTCTGTAACGTGCAAAATAAATTGTCAAATACGCAACTTTTTCGGAGTGGCAGCACGGTCGCGGGTGTCATAGCGCCGTTCAAATTTCGTAGCGTTGATGTGTAATTAATTATAACAATAAATTAGGTATCTTGTAACAAATACGTGTGGGTATAGACGATTTGTTATACAGTAAGTACAGTTGTATGCAGTAAAATCCTAGAGGCTACTGTCCCTTTAACATTATGTGGGCGAATTTCCAAAATTAGGTTTAAAATGAAACATTTTGTTTTAATACGTTTTTTGAGAAATGGCTTCCCAATTTTTGAAATTTTATGTTAATGATTATCCCCACCTACTCTACTTGTACAATGTGTGTAAATATACATTACAAATATATGTTGCAAATATATCATTTAGCGGTATTTGTTTTATAGTTGAATTAACATAGTTTTATAGCTGAATTTTATGTTCATAATTTGTCCAAAATGGTGTGAATGTTACATGTTATAAAAATAGCAAATCCCCAAGACATAAATACAAATACATTCTATATGTATTAGTGATCTTCATTTCCTTTGTTGATTCCCCTAACTTGTAGGAACTTTTCTATATCTTCAAGCAAGGTTATCACACATTTCTTTTATGAACATGATTGCTGTTTGATTTTGAGTGCACTTATAGTTTAAATAGAAATATTTTCTTACAATTTGATCCTGTAAGAGACTGAATAATATTTATTGAATTGATTTTACTCATGCAAGAAAGCCTATTGTCTCACGCAGTATGACACGCTCTGTGTATGATAAGACCATAATAACAATATTGTTTGTTTGCAATTTTTTTTATTGATTTTTTACCATTTTTTAATATACATTTTTTTACAAATTGTATCACTACATTATTTAAATCTGTAGGCAACATTTTATGTACCAAGCAAAACAAACATTCAACATAAAAGGTATCTCCACACAAGCACACCCAAGAATGTAGACGCTATGCTGAATTTGTAAAAAGACCCTAAAAAAAAGGGAAAAAAGCCTACCTACCTACCGAAATTTTTCAGCCTCGGTTTGATGAGGGCAAACAAAGAACTTTTTAATCGTGGCCTAATCTGTTTGACCCGCTCACATTTTGTTCTCTGTTATATGCGTGCTAGTTTGAGTGCGATAGGCAATAATAGCACAACTGTATATATTCGTGTGTTGTGGAACTGGTACACTTGAATAAATGTGCTATTAATATTTGTTGCTATTAAAATATTAAGGGACGTGTGTGTTAGGGGGGGTCAGACTAAGGTGCTTCTAACAGGTAACTACTTTATCTTTAAGAATGCAAACATAGCCCTACGTGTATGGCAGGCGAGGTGGGACACAAATGGTATTTAGTGACGGTCACAAATTCGAATTAATGTCTATCATATATATTCTATTTAGACTAGTGACTATCATATATTCCATTTAGTGACAGTCATTAAATCAACCAATCAGATACAACTTATTTTTTCTCAGCCAATCATAGGCATGGAATTATTGATAAACACTAAATGATTTAATGATAGACACTAAATACCATTTGTGTCCCACCTCGCCTGCCATATACGTGTACCTACCCGTATGTATGTGTAAATGTGCCCAACTGAAATGCAAAAGTGCATGCAGGGATATGAGAATTAAAATTGATTTATTATTTTGCCACGTCATGTTGATGGCATGAATATGAATATCATATTATGTTTGTGATACTACTGGCTTTTGGGATGCGCTACTCATTAGCAATATAAATGCAATTTGTTTTCGTTTTACAACCTTGCTCAAAGCACAGCCAGCTTACTTAGACTACCACATAGAAAAAGGGGTTCTGTTATCAATATTTTGGCTAGAAAACTTGTTGTGTTCTGCGTATATACTATTTTCAAATACATTACATTTTGTACGCATTGCATGTAAGCTGGATAGGAGGACAATGAGGAGAGAACAGTGTTAACAACCCAGAAGCAAGTTTAATATTTTTATTTGTTCACATGTACGTTTCAGTGCAGGACGGCTAGATCTATTTAATGGGTCAATAACGGGGAATTTGCCCAAGTTTGTGCATGCAGTGAAACTGTATTAGCCCACTCGCTCATCATTACATAATAGCAAAAGTATCTTAAGGTCAAGTATATGTATATATATATATATACATATATATTCAGCAACAGGTAGGTATTTGGTATAAATATCTGCCAATTTGATAGTGAAAGATTACAATGTTTAAAAATAGCTGCTATATGTGTGTAGTGATACCCTGTTCTGTGATGTTTAGGTTTGAGAAAGCACACCTCTCATACTCTCGTTAGGCAAAATATCGCGTGATGCTGAACAAAGCCTATTTGATCGCCTGCAAATTAAACTAAACCAGGTGGCGTCTTAAAAAGAACAATGTAAAAAAAATTTTTATGTACAATTCTAATAATGCTGACAAATATACTTGTATTGAAATGGTTGCTAAATAACAGTATTATCCCAGTTGCAAAATCGATGAGAATCAAAACTGGCACGATTATGTATGGTATTGCAATATCCTGTATACACCCGAAGGCAGTAAAATACTAAGCATGGCTACAGCTACTTTCCATAATAGTAAGGTAATGTATGTAAACACGATTGTATTGTTACCGGTACCATATGGATGTAATACAAAGTATCGAGGATAAAGTTATTCCTTGATTCACTGCTATAAGATGTTGCTGCTATGCGAGTTGGTAATATAGCCTAAAGTTAAGATTCAAATTGCATCCCGACTGCTTTCATGTTAATCAGAATAAATCTGTTAAAACATGTCGTTTTGCAATGCTATTGCTCATGCCATTTAAATCTGCTATCATTTAGCTGTTCGGCATGTTTATGTGTGACTAATTAAAATATGATCACATAAGTCTGTTTTCACTGTTTGTTGTTGTTGGTGTTGTTGTCGTCACCGTTGTTCTTGGTAGAGTTGATGATACTCACATGAATGTCACCACGTCCTGCACTGTGACTCATTTTCATCAGTTCAAGATAACTATTATTGATGTATAAATATACATTCGCAGGAAATTGATGTTTTGCTTAAACACTGTTTAAATATTTTTAAATTGTACCAGCAAACTATTCGCATTTCCTGCTTCAAATCCATTTCCTGTTTCAATGCCTGTTTAAACGCATTCTCTTAACTGCACCTCTGTGCTACAAGCGAATGCATACCGGGTGTAACCAGGGCTGTAGCTAGGAATTAATGTATGTTGGGGGAGCAAGATGAATGAGCGCCGGAGGCGCTCGCTTCTGGGGGGCATTCTGGGGGCATGCCCCCCAGGAAATTTTGAAATAGAAGCTCTGAAATGCCATTTCAGGTAAGTTACATACCTAAAACTCCCCAAACGGTTAAGCGAGTATTTTATCATCTTAAGTTCCCATTATTCTTTACTGGGTTCTTTTTTTGGCTGGTAGTTTAAAATGTACAAGATAGAATTCAGAGTTTGAAATTCGATGTTCACCAGTATACGTCGGTACATATCAGTGCACGGCCAATGAAAGAAGACATTTATTGATTTTTTACTAATTGTAGGGCCCTAAACTAAGCAAGGGATTATAATGGCCACAATACTGGCCGATACGAATAGATACGATACGATAGAATTGCTTCTTTGATTTTGCTTTGCTATAAGTGCATGTTTGAACCCTGGTACAGTAAGAGATGGTGAAAAGAGCAGAGAAGTTGAAACAGATACTCGTTTTTCGGAGAAAGATGATGGGGCATAAACTACCATACTTCCAGATGTTTTGTAGATTGACATGTACACTGTTGTTTGAGTGATTTTCGTGAGACTGCAAAATGGCAGCTCAGTAAAACGGCATTTAGCGTGAAGGCACGTGTGAGCGGGTGTATACTGCCGATTCATGAATCTCTACAAGACGAATAATCGCTTTGTGTGCGAATGTTAGACTGTTCACGATACAAAACGTGTTCTAAAAATACGGCATACTTCGTCACTGAATGCTTGCGTGGCAGGAGGTGTGTTTACACAGCCAGACTTGGCAGATACCTAATATCCACATGTACAACGTTCAGGCTGGATATAGGCGATGGAAGTGTCATTATTAATAATGCCTGCATTGCGAGTAACAGAAATTATACAGTTTCACGGTCTGTAACACCTTTAATAGCATACAAACTGCAATCAACCACAGGCGATGACATTAAACGTACCAATTATATTATATGAAAGGGGAATTGGATAAATGTACTGTATAACACATAAATTCTATATAAGTTCTATAATATTATTCAAGCCATAGACTAGCAGGGAAAAGTAAAATAATTTACAAGTAAAAATGCTTAGAACCACATAATATTCACAAGTACACTACAGCCAGGTCGTATAATCTAAATGATTGGTTATGCCAATATAGCCTGACCAGCTGAATTCTTTCATGGAGATATATTCTACCTGCTTTAGAAACTGGATTTTCATCATTGGTGTTTTTATCATAGCAATAGAGCAGATATGATGCCAGATTCCATCAAATTACCAAAAGAAATTCTACATGCACCATACAAGCTAGACATCCTAATAGCACAACCATGCGTTGAAGGATTATCACCCCTTCAGCACAATATTTACACATTGCTATATTTGTTTATGCTAATTATGCAATATCAGACCAGTATCCAGTAAGTAGTGAAATCCAATAAATTCCGTAATGAAAAATGTCATTTATCTCTCTAACAGATAATGAGTACAACCACAAGAGTAAGAATCGTGGAATGGCATAAAACGAACTCCTATATATACAAGCTTTACGTGCCAAGTTGAAAAAAGTTTAAAGTTACAATCCTTACTGATGGGTTAATGATGGCCTGCATGCTTCTGCTGTAGATGCTCCTTTACAATCTTGGGCAAATCTTGATTTGTGAAGTAATCTGTAATATTTAGATGACTTAATAGCATTAATCTGTCTTACATTGCAACACGAAATTGTACTGACTAAATTGTAAGAAGGACCAAAATACTGGTTTAATTCAAGGAAAAATTACCACAATGGCTGACTGGTACACATTAAAAATCAAATGTATGTATGAAAGATTCAGGACTTATATATATGTAAGCAGAACGGAAAGTCTTGCACATGTTTTTTCATAGGTACTGAAGCAGTTTATTACCTCCGCCAGGGGTTGGCAGGAGGTTATGTTTTCATCGGCATGTGTTTGTTGGTTTGTGGGTTTGTTTGTGTACAGCCTAACTGAAAAAGTTATGGACGGATTGTCATAAAATATTCAGGATAGGTCAGAAATAGGCTAACTTAGAATTGATTAGATTTTGGTGGTGATCCGGATCCAATTAATTAATTAAATAATTAATTAATACAATTTTCAGGATAGGTCAGAAATGGGGTAACTTAGAATTGATTACATTTTGGTGGTGATCCGGATCCAATTAATTAATAAACTTTTCCACAGTGAGAGAATTCAGCTGCCTTGGCGGAGGTCTGCGCTCTCCGAGTGCTCTAGTTTACTATATAATCACCTGCTGCGAATGTTCGAATGTCTTCAGGTCTTTTCAGCAGGACTTCACTGTAATAAGAGATGTGCATGTTTAATTAATCTATAATCAGTGTAACGCAATCAATGGCTCATAACTTGTTCAACACTTGCAAATGAAGAAAATCACATCATAGGAAGGTTTACTTAGAACTTTATAGAACGCTCTTAGCTAATGCAACATTAACAATTGTGCTAGTAGCAATTAGGTGCTTTGCTTTGCACTTTTGTTTAATCTCAACTTTACAAATTCGAAAAAAATTACACGACAGAAATATATAAATAGATACTTATCTAGCATATAATTTCACATATATACTTATCTATGATTCATGTATAATGTTACATTGTATATAATATATACTTATACTAATATATATATATATATTATATATACTATATATAGTATTTATGTAATAAAATAATATCTCTCTTTGGTACACCCTGTGATAGGATTTTTGAGTTTGGTAATTGTAGAGCTTCACAAAGATGCCACTTACTATGGTGCACAGAATTAACCGATTGCTCAATACCGTTACAGCAGTGCTCTCGATGTACATGCAAGAGATAGACAGCCGCCCTCTATAGAGAGCTCAAATAAACCATGTGCATATCACATGATTTTATATTGTTGGATGTATTATTGGTATAATCAAAAATAAATCCAGGCAAAGAATGACTGCCTTCCACATAGTGAGTCAATAGATTGATAGGTTGATAGGTGTATAATGTATATATATATCTTGGTTTTATAGAACAGCAACATTCTCCGCACACGTAACAATATACTAGGCGCAGTTTCACCGTTTTTCAAATATCAGTGGTTTTAATTGCATGTGTATAGAACACAATGAAAGTTCAATGTAGCTTAGTTCTCAGCAACTTGCCAATCTTCATCTTGTTAGTTACAGGGCGGCCCCAGCTCAGAGACATATAACTAGTTGCACGGTTTCACTTTATAAGTTGAACATCCCAAATATCCCATACATCCCAAATATCCCAAACATCCCATAAAAGTCAAGATTCAATTTATTTTTAGCAGTTTGGTCTGTGGGTACATGCCCACAGTCCATAAGATACAATTGTAAACATTCATCTCTAAATCAGGGTGCGCAATATCGACAGATACTGATGTTCATAACTCCGGTTCGTTACTGTCGTAACTTCCTCATTCGGTGTATTTTTGGCACAACCAGAATGTCTCTTCTTCTGCCTTCTATAGATAATGCATGATAACGACCAAAACACACTGGAGCAACAACCTGTAATGTTCAGCGTTGAAGTCGCAGTTACTGGGCCCGGCGTCGCTGTAGGAAACTAGAGCCTGTTGAACGTTACATGGGCTTACCAATGATTTTGATGCGCTGTGCTAAGGATAACCAAAAGTTTCTCTCAGCTAGACAGCCTTTCCCAATAAACACACCTCAGATCTTATAAAGTGGAACTTCCCTGAACACATAAACTGGTCTGTTCGACAAACGCTATTATAATCCATATAGATAGCTGAGCAGCCTAATTTCGTCAGAAAATGTTTTCTACTTTTTATCACATACTGATAATAACATTATATACAGCATCAATTGATTGGCTATTTATGAAGTGTTGTGCAGCTATGTTGCTGGGAATTAGAAACAATTCTAAACATTTTTATCATTATGGTTGTCATCGCACGTTATCACATGCATGTGCTACAGCTCATTGGAAACATAACTTCTCATTTTCTAAAATGTTCTTGACTGTTATGGTCGGTCATTGTCTCTGTAGTAGTGTGTCTTGACCTTATAAATGCATATATATATATATTTAGTATCATCGCCCGAGTGATTATAGGAAATCCTGCGCGCTGATTGGTCGAGACCTAGGTGAATATATTTCGATAGGTCGATGTAGGTTGATATTTCGATGTAGGGTTTACATTGTAGTGGCACCACAAATGGCGGCTAGATTTGTAAATGTTACGGAAGCCGAAATTGACAAATTTAAAGAAAATGCTGTCCCCAAAAGTACCAAAGATGTGACAAAATTTGGAGTTAAGCTATTTAAAGGTAGGTAGTTAAATTCAAGCTTATTATTGGTTTTTGTTACTCTGATTTCCAATAGATGGCAGGCACTACCTAATTTAAAGAAAATGGTTGCCGACACTTGTTTACATCTAATTTTACGAAACGTTTTATTTTGTCAACAGAGTGGTTTCAGCACTTAGTTCTTTGAAAAAGGTTTACGTTTTCTTTCCTATAATCACTCGGGCAATGATACTAAAACAGTTATTCGCCGAAGGCGAGGTGAATCTAAAACTGTTAAATATATACAACCACTCACCCCAAAAAGTTTGCTAGCATCCCTTCCACTTCGGGATGATCTGAGAGGTACTTTTCATTTTCTAGCCGTGTCTGCACCTGCAAAATTTGGATATATATATATATAGCATTTTATTAAAACAATTCTTCAATCAATGTTTATTCAAGATTTCTCATGTTTTTAGCTCATCTGACGAAGTCAGATGCAGCTTGTAGGATCGCATGATTGTGCATCCGTCCGTCCGTCAACAGTTGGGCACAAATCTTAACCGCTCGACGTACGGTCACGATATTCGGGGGGTGGGGGGGATCGTGAAAAGGACTAAGGATGACAAATTTGGGGGTCAATGGTCAAAGGTCAAGATGTGTAAACGAAGGGGGAATATTTCCACCTTATAGGAGGAAATACGGAATTGCGGCACAAATCTCAACGGCTCGACCTATGCTCTTAATATTCGGTGTATGGTGTGATGGGCAGGAAAAACCATCACCAGTGCGAAATTGGAGGTCACAGGTCAAAGGGCAGTGGGCGAAAGGTCAGATATCAGACATTTTCTGAGGACATGGCCCATAAATGGAGCAGCAGTGGAAACTTTTTTGTTTCAGCGGTGACCTACTATTTTTATCACTTTATTGAAAGGACCATGAAATGTGCTTTCCACTGACGTGCGAAGAGTAAGTGTCTGATAACCTTTTGACCCTCAATAGGAAGGTTAAACATGGTTTCCTGAACTGCCTCAATGACATGACAGTGTTATCATATTAATGGCACATCCATAATCTAGAAACCCAATAAGCCTGGATAGCCGAACGCGTACAGCACAGGCGTCACGGCTCAAAGGTCGTTGGATCGAATCCCATCTGATTTTTTATTATTTACTGTTTTCTGTATTTTTCTATCTTTATCCATTTAACTATTTTTTTCCAATTAACGCAAATATTTACATGATTTATGATTTACAACAATTTAATAACAAATAATTTTTACAACAATTATTGTTATTATTTTTTAATAGGGTTAGGGTTAGGGTTAGGGTTAGGGTCACAATGCACCATAAAACAGGAGTTTCAGGCACGCGATTTGTATCAACCAATGGGATTACCCCGATTTGGGAGGTATGCAGAATGCAGAAGGTTGCTGAAATGTGTACGCAACTGCGTATCTGCATATCTGCGCCTAACAAAGGTGTCACTACGCACAACTTAAATGTTACATTTATAACCGTAGCAACAGACCTCAGCTGAGCCCAGACGCTCTGCGGCTCTGGTTTCACCAACGGTTTTAATATTTTCTCAACCGTTCTGATACTTACCAGTACTCCTTGTGTAACACCAATTGTATATAGTAAGGCTAACAATTTAAACATGTGTCTTTTCACCAACATGTGCGCCCATCTGCACTTCAAATTGGATTGTTTGCGATGTGTCAACAAAACTAGCAAGTGATTTTTACTCTCGCGAGACTGGAACCGTGTCTCTACACTAGGTTAATTACCTTTAAATATACATTTCGAGATAGGTATCAGTCTATAAATATTTGTTTCACGTAACTATGTGCACTTGTTTTGTGGGAGTGTTTAAAAAATTCTATTAGATCACGAATCTGAAGATAGCAGGCACATGTTTGATGTTCATTTAATGGTTCATAGACTATAACAGCAGAAACTTGTAATTTTTATGCTGAATTGATCAGTAATATGTTCACAGACAGGCGAGTCTAAATGTATTCATTTTTCGACTTATCTGAGAAATTATCGTTTTAAATACTGTCACTGTGACATTGCTAATGGGGTTAGCCGCTAGCTTTGTCAGCAGGTGGCGCAGCGGGAGCAGCAGTTGTAGAGCCGGTTGCGCAATAACCCATGGCAGATGTAAACATACATCGATCACACATAGCCGATCCTATATTTTGATCAACATATCAGAACAAATCGAACACTTAAAAGAATAAACATCCACTTCACATATGCACCACTATTATCACCGTGAATCTCAATAACAAAATGGAATATAAAAATAACTATTAACAGCATACATGTAACTGAGTAACCTAATGTTCAACTTTATTATAAAAAAAACACGTGATGGATTAATTGTGAACATGATTCAAAATACGTGGCCCTGCGTAACGACAATCCAGGGACTGCAGTACTTTGTCCAAATGGCTAGCCCAATGTGATGGGAGAGCTAACAGGTTTCGCATAGCAGCAATGGTGTCTTCAGGGTCGTGGGGACAAAGGTGATGTAATTCAAAGATGGCACATGGCTAAGCAACACAAGCAGCTGCTCGTGTTCCCAGTCGATATTCCTTGTGTGGCAAACTCAGTTGTGTAGCCACATGTGTAACTGTAAGTGTTTGTCCAATGGCTTTGTGAATTTTTAATTTTATTCACAGTATTTACAAAAGGTTTGATTTAAAAATATAAAGAGTACTCGTTTGGGCTAGAGAACTGCTTGTGCTGGTACAAACACTGGGGCCGCGAACCAGTCTACGTTTCCTTCAGAACGCTACGATCTGGTCGGTGCTATAAATACTGACGTACGGCCCAAAATCACCTCAAATCGACATGAGTTTTTAACGACGTTAATATGCGATAAATTAGACGGGTCGTAGGGCGACCTGAGCCCGGCTTTACTGAACTGTGTAGTAGGGTCGTTCACACAGTAATATACACACTCATAATACAGTTATATATTAAAATGAATCTAATTTAATATCGATTTATAAATTTCAGTTATGCGAAGATGTATTTGTGATCGCAGACACTTGTGAGAAATTTAGTTCGGTTGATTCTGAACATTCTGTACTGCAGTAATTAACTGGGCTGTAATCTGCAGTGCCCTCACTCTATAACCGTGCCGTCACAGATAACCCCTGCGACATAAGAACTTGAATTATCTCCTGAACTTATTATTATGCGGTCATAAAAACACTGGGCTAAGCTACATGCCGCAATCGATTTCTTAGAGTGTCGCAAGGTTTTGTTCGTGTGCCAATTCATGCATCGAGGGAGTTCATGCCCTTGGCTCTAGATGTTTTGGATACACCGTCTACGTTCAGGAGCGGAGTGCATTATTAGAATACGCTCCCATTTACAAGTCTGTCTAAACTGCCATTGCGATAACCGTAGTATTTCAGCATAATATGAGGGGAAAAAGTGCTGGTCAGGAGGACCGGCAGTTACGTAGAGATGGTTGCCCGAGCAAAAACTTGGTGGCTTCGGGCCTCCGGGTCGGCACTAATTTCGCACGCTGGTCATATACTTCCAGTCTGTTGAAAATAAATAAATAAATAAATTCAGCTTGAATCTCAAATTCAACATCGACCGTACATTTTAAACTAGCTTTAGTACTATAGCCCATGACTTGTTGCCACAAGGTTGACTTGACTTGTAGCATGTGGCCTAAGCCTATATTACAATCTCTCTCTCTCTCTCTCTCACTGTCTATTATACTCTATATATATTATCAAGAGCATATAAAGAAGGAGAGCGTACAACGGTAAAATGCTGAAACCATGTTGCAGTATTACGTCGAATTAAGAAACTTGTGCCCCGTGTTATTTTTGACGATTCTTTCAAGTTACTTGATCAGCTTGTCCTACGCTTGTTTATATGAAAACAACGCGCATGTCCCTACGATGCACACGCTGCGAGATAATCGAGGCAGGTTGAAAATCTGTATTTTCGGCTGATCACCGATTAGACCATTAGTCAATACTGCGCGAAGCCGCTGCTCTTGAAGTGTGGCCAGTGTGTTGCTTCGCGGGTCGCCGCTGTGTAGCGGCCATAGTGGCGCTGCACTGCACTCATACTACCAGAGTTTACATATAGCATCCAGCGTGAGGTGTGGGCGTGAGTGGCAAGTGGGGGTCATCTACTATGGCAATCAAATAACAGACGTCAGTTCATTCCATTTGATCAATCATGACGAGAAAACACTGGCGAGTTTACCGAAGTTATACAACACGTTCGAGAGAACAGTGCAGCAGTAACGACTGATCTCCGAGTCAGTTTTCGGCGAAAATACCAGATTTCCACTGCTCATTATCTCAGCGTATGGGCATCGTAGGGAAATTCTTAACCTACATCTAGAATACAGTACTTAGGAAAATGCATTCCAAGAGTGTTTACAAGCCGCTTCTAAAAGCGTTCATCTGCCGAGATTTCACACACCGATTCTGACCAAAATTGTGCATTATCACTCATAAACACAACGTATTTCGTGGAACATAGTTCTTACCTTTGTATCAAATCTTCTTTGCGACCTCTTGTCGATGCTCCTCTTTCATAAAGTTTACCTTTAGAGAGTGTACGGTAAGTTTGTCATATGTCGCCATTAGTGTATCCAGGGTGTGCATCAGTACGCGGATAATCTTGCACCGCTACAGATTTGCTGCCCTCCAGCGGCAACTGTTTCTAGCGGCTAACCCCATTAACTGTATGCTGACTCTGTAGGCTGCATGTATTATAGCCATGACTGACTACATGTGTCATATTGAAATTTAACTTGTGTGTTCGTGCATGAGATGCACGTAGGTGCCTGCGTATATACAATGCACATGCATCTGCGAGCACATATTTACTATGTTCTGGTTATAGTTGCGGGCGATTAACAATTATCAACATTATTAGTATTATATAAGCTTGCAAAACTTGCACTTTATTATGAAAATTCCTTTTGTTTATAATATAAATGAATAAAATAAAATAACAATTGTAAACATTTGGTAAGAAGCTATGAATCGAAACTAATTAATCATTATTTGTCGTATTTCTTACAGCGAATAATAGCGAATACATAGCGAATAATAGCGAATACATCCCTCAATACTCTCAATGTCTCATTGATAATTTTAGGGATACAACACCCTAGAATTTAGGGTATATTATGATAGTAAGTGCATAAATAATAGTATATAGGTCTACAAATTTCTATATTAGGTAAACCTAATCGGTAACATCCCCGTTGGCCTACTCCCATTTTGCCTACGTCCCATTTCGCCTACTCTCAGAATCGGCAATATTCCCATTTCGCCTACTCCCATTGTATTTTTATGCTAAGTACTGTATTTTCTATTTTTGTCAAGTTGTGTTCTC